TTGATGTAAAGTGGAATTTTTTTCCTATTGGTAAATTTCACTTTCGTTTTTGTAGTAGGTAATTTATAATTGCTTCTATTTGAAGAAAAAGAGCCATTTCTCTAGCAGACAATCTTAGCAATTAATTCGCTACTGATCTTTGTTCCTCCATAAAAGATTTCTTCTGTACCATGATCGAAAATTTCATTACCGCATCGAAATCTCAGTTCCTCCGGAGCTGTGGTTGGATAATGAAGAAGCAATTGTTTAGATATCAAATTTGCGGAAAATAAATTCAGTTTTTGTGGTTTGAAGGTTTTTACCCCAAACTGGCGCGATCTCTTTGAAAATAAAATTGACATCGGATAGAACTGATAGAAAACACCCACAATGAAAGAAACAAACAAAAGACTACTTCGTTAGCAGAGGTAGATGTGCTTGTATCGGAAATGTTATGAACACCAACGACAAATATAATTAATAACAAGTTAACACATACCATCAAAGTAAATTATTGCCGCGATGTGAAACGTTCGCTGGGTCTAAAATTTTACTGAGCATCTTTTACGACAAAGTTTGATCGAAAGTAGAAAGAAATAAAACTATCTAATTGAGAAAAAGTGTGATATCAGAATTTAGGTTTATATTCTGATGGAAAAAAATTCTGAAAACTACAAATAAATTTCCACTTCAGCTCTGCACGTGCCAATTTCTCTCACTCATTATCCACGTTTTTCATCGATCGGAAATTTACGAGCAGAAGTGTTTATTTGCTGACTCTTGCTATAATTATAGAAGTTGATTGCATCGAACCTTCTGTTTAGAATGGGGCTTGACATTACATTTTATTAATGAAAAGTGGTTAAACTGAAACTTTACCTCGGAGGTGGATTCCAGCGCAGAGAATCACGATAGATCTCGTGTAACTAACGTTTAATTTTATCCTTTTTTAGCGGAAGAACATCAAAGTGCTTGACTGACTCTGGACAGTAGTGAAAGAAATGTGACTGGAGTGACCTTTCGTCGCTGAGTAAGCTTTGAATTGTGTCAATGATGTTTTCAACTAAGCATATGTCAGTTTCCAAGCTTTCTTGTTGCCTTTTTGCAAGTTGGAGTTTTAGAATGGTTTGCTCTCCTTTTAAAGAGTTTTCGTCATTTTTTTGTCACAATCTTCAACTTACAGTTTTAGATATTTATAGTTCTCTCGTATTACTAATTCTGGGACCCTCTGATAATCAAAGAACCGTTTGGAGGAGTACTGTCGACAGATGTTTTGTGATATGGAAGTTGGGTATTACAGAATGATCAACACTTTTTTTACATAAAGTTTCGTCACTTTTGTTGGCAAACTGAGACATGAATTTCTTCGATGCTTGCCTTAAAGATTCCCTCACGTAACAAAATCGAGGAATCTCTGGGAATACAATAACAGCTTGGAAGAAAAAGAAAGCTTTCGACTGATGTTTCGTGATATAGAATAGGCAGCTTTGCTGAAAATATACAGAATTACACGTTTGTCACTTCAGCCCCGCGTCTCAACGAAAACCATTTAACCTACTAATGGCTTTAACACGTGTTATGTTGTCCAAAACGTTGTACTATTAAAAGGGTTTACGTGACTATAATTAAAAGACAGTTAGTCGTTTAAAGCGACGTGCAGCGACTAGCTAATACGTGACGGAAGCTGCTGAGTATCGTATTAGTTCGGTAAAAATAAAAGAGGAAAAGTGTCAAATAAGGGATAGGAAAATGAAAATTTAGGAACAGGAAAAAGTGCAAGATGTTGAAGATTGGCCGTGGCCAACTCACACGGAAAAAAATTAGGTTATTTTTTTAAAGACGCACAACGCCCGATTTACTCGCCTAATTGGCAATTACTTATATAGGGAATGCGAACAGTGTGTCTCCTCCGCCCTAAAACAAGAACACTACCGGCATCAAAACAACAAGTACTAAAGTACCACTTTAAAAGACAAGTGTGTCACTCATGTAAAACACCGCAGACTTACAAAACTTCCCAATTCCTTTTGAAAATTCTGCTCACCTTGTATGCCAAAACTGCGGTAAAACGAAGAAATATTTGTTATTGGCGACTTGTTGTCTGTTTTGGAATCTAGCGTGACCTTAATCGAGTTGAAGAGCTTTGCTTCTTAGTAGACTCATATCACAGCCAGTCAATGATATAATGTATATTAAGCAATTTAACGATGTTGTTTGTGAAAACAGTATCGAGACTTGATCATGATTAAATTGGCAGGTGGTTTACGCTTCATTTTGTGGACAGATATCTTTAGGAGTCCTGTTTAAAAAAGACCTCAATGAACTATAGTACAAAGAGGCATGATAACACAAATCAAATAAACCAGCTGTAGATGTAGTTTCAATGAAAAAAAAAAAAAAAAACACAAAACACAAAACCGGCCGTATCTTCACCGCAAAAGGCCGATGTCACAAAACAAGAATTTTGGAAAATCGGAGGGACCGTCAACTATATTAGCAAGCTTTCGTGAGGTCTCTTCAAACAGTACATGATCGCTGTACATCTAAAAATACGCTTGGTATTATCCCAACGTAAAATGACCCTTGAGATCTCTTCAACAGGAAGTTAGCTTTATGTCTCGACATTTAGACGAGACGATAGCAGTCTCTTTAAACATGAACGTCCCTAGCTTAAAAGACTTTGATTGAACGAAATTGATCTATCATGCAAACTATGCTAGGAAGCAGAAGTTTATAAAGTGGGACAGAAGCTGCGGTTGAAATTATGCTATCATAAGTAGAAGCATACAAAGTGCGTCATAAGCTTCTGGCTTATATGAGTAGCTCCATTACACTTCTGCTACTATAACTGTTTTGATACAAATAAGGATTTTAAACCTTAAATAAACTACCGATTTTGTAAGAGTCTAAAATGATTGCACGGTCATCGCACAGGATGCCGCGACACATCCCGGGTTGAAATCGTGTTGGCGAATGATGATAGTTTGTTTTGAGACCTATCATGTAGAATAGTTGCCCCATGTTACCTGCTGTGAGTGAAGTACATATATAGTACTTGAGATATTTGAAGGACAGTTTCTGTCACTTGGATCAGTTTCTAAAACCGTGTTGCGCCATCAAGAGTGACGAAGAAGCAATTTTTCCTTACAGTTTGTTATATATTGTCGGACAAACAAATGATGCAGAGTGTGAAAAATATCAATCATGGGAAAACGTCTGATTTAACATTTAACTCTCAGAAATAACATTAAAATAATTGCGTTATATACAATAAGAATTAATACCGCTGAGACCTTTGTTTGAATGTGGTTCGTCACGATATTTTTAGTCGTTTTCAACGACGACTAAAGCTACAGGCTTTCAACGTCCGGCTCGCGAGGAATCAAAAAATTACTCGCTTGGTGAGAGAAAAAAAAAATACAGCAAATGAAAATGGTAAAAATTAACCAAGCTCTGGAAAAAATGGTGATGTTTTTAAGGATGGAAGAGATTTACAGAGATTACAAGTGACTTCAAAAGGTAATAACAATCAAGACGGATGGCTAAGCCTTAGACACGGGATGGAGAATTTTGATACATGCAATTTGGAGACTGGTTCAAGGCATTAGTTTAGTAATGTAAAAAAACACGTAGGAATGGATAATAAACCAAGAAGACACATGGATGGTTTTGGGATAAATATGATTAAAACTGATTATAAATGGCTACGAAATTAAGGCAAAGTCAGAGTTAGAAAAACACTTGAGAGGAAATAACAAACCAAGAAGGGACTCAGGATGGACGAGATTACCACAGATTAAAGATAACTTAAGCTTCAAATTACTGTTTTATTCAGACAGAAAAGCACGTAAGATGCACTTATAGTTAGAAACTAGCAAGGAACAGTGATGGCTAAAGATGTAGGATATTGACAAGGATTACAAATGACTAACCCTTATAAATTCAGATTTAACTTTTAGGTTGCGCACGGCTTGGCATACACCTTTGTTTTGGGTTCAGTAGCCACCCACGTTTTCACGTATGTAGGCCTAGATTGACCGCTAGAGAGATTCGTTTTCCGAGAAGAAGCACCACAAAGTACCCTTTGAGCTAAAAAATTCATTCATCGCGTAACAATATTAGTGTGTTTATAAATGAAGTATGTATATATTCATGTGTAGATAAATGAGGGGTTTGGCATGTTCGAGGTAGCTTGGATAAAAAAGACAGTTCGAATGTTATTAAAAGGCTATCTTCCCCATTTCCTTTCGTTCCCAATTCTCCATCTAGACAACGATACACACCGAAACTTACAATAGCATGTCAGATATGAAGGTATGTTAAAACCAGTCAGATATAGAATTATATAAAGCACAAACCAAAAAATACTTGCGTTCTACCCTTGACATTAGTTTTATTAAGATGCACACATAACTTAGACTTTTTCAAAATTCAATCTCACATTTTTTTTTGTTTTTTTTGTTTTGTCGTATGAGCCTGTTACGACCCTTTACCCAGAATTACGTTTCAAGTAAAGTAAATCATTTTCTTCAGCCGTCTGTGATAGTTTTTCCGTGTTTGGTTTTTGCCTTTATCTGAGACCGTTTGAGAAGTTCTCGCTGGCGCCATTTGAGAAGGCTTATCGACTATAAACGAGTTGCGGTCGTACAGGTCTGATAATTGAGAAGCGTAAGGGAAGCCATCTAGAACAAAATGGCAGAAACAGTTTTCTGATAAGGTGTGAGTTGTTTTCAGAGTAGATATTGCAAAAAGCATAAATCTACTCTAGATTAAAAAATAAAAAAAAGCCCTTCCAAAAAAAATGCCACTTGGAAAATGTCTTTTGCACAACTGCATCTTTTTTCAATAGCGATTGTCCATCATTGTCCATAGAAATGAGCACCTCACTAAAAGCGCGTGCAACTATACGTGACAACGCACGCAAAGAGCCCATTGCAGAGCGCGCGCTTTTCAAACTGGACCAACGTAAGCCAATCTGCGCGTCACAATGCGAAGTTTTCAACGGAAAAAACAAACTCAAATGTGAATCGTCTATGAGAAAGTTATTTACCTAGAAGTCTTTATAACTTCAAGGATAGTGGGTTGCTTTCGGGAGGCCTTAATCCATAAAGTTCATAATGAGCTGGGCAAGGGATGAATGGAAACTTGATTTACCCAACGCAGCACTAAGAAAGATTTCTGAGCTGGAAAACGATGCGGAAAATTTGCGAAAGGGCAAACAACAGCAACAGTTTCAACTGGAAACCGTGTCAAACTCTCTGCAGAAACAAAAGCAACTAAATGCAGAGGAAAAAGCCGCAAATTCCACGTTGCGGCGGGAGATACAAGAACTTACACGAAAATGCTCCGACCTCGAAAACCAGGAGGAAAAATCACAAATTGATGTTAAGGCGAAAGACAACAAAATCGGACTGCTGGAGGAACAATTGCGCAAAGCCAGGGAGAAGCTTAAAGACGAGGAAGATAGAAATTCCGAAGTGCTGAATCAAGTTGATCAGCAAAAGTTGATCGTAGAAGTGAAGGAAAATGAAATTGGACAGTTCACCGAAGAGGTGGAACGAATCAATGAAACTAAAGTGCAGATGATGAAAGATCTTGAAGGTATGTTTTTACAAGACTCTGAAATCTCTGTTTTTGTTTTTTTTTTAAGTCTCCATAGCCACATTCACACCAAAACTAAAAGAATGTTTTAAAGCCGTTTTGTCAAACTCAGTTTAAAATTGTTTTTTTCGTTGAAGCTGCTTAAACTGATGTTTGTTGACTTCAAAGTTAGCACTACGAAAATAAGTGACTACTTGAACCCTATGTGGTAAAGTTTAGTTTTCCAGTTTTCTGTTGCTGATTTTTATCCAGTTCAACCTGGGGGCATGTATTATTTAAAAGGAGTGTTTTGAATCCGTATGTCAGTAGTATATCCGAGAAGAATCAGGCTCCCAGCTGTACATTCTCAGGACACACTGATTTGAATCTTTATCAATATAGCTGCAAGAGAAAATCAATTCTGACCATGGGCAACTAGCGTTAATTTATAATACCTTTTTCTCGAAAGGAGCAGAACCAAAACAGGCACAAAATATCTCAGAAGAAAATTCCCATAAAACCCTATTCTTTTGGGATTTTCAAAAAATATCAAACATTTGTCAGAGTCAGTAGTGAATACCTGAAATTTTCCGCTCAGTTTGAGAGAATAAAGCGGGGTTAGCTCTGTACCGGGGATGGTATGATATGATTCCAAAGGAATGCCGTGGGTTTTTAAAACATTTTGTCTGAGCGCCTAGAGGAATAGTGAAGGCTGCGGAGATTTCCGTATGGGAGTGTCTCCACACCCGGTAAACTTGGCACCGATGAAGGCGGAGAGATTTCTCCCGAGTATTATTATTTTTGCTTCGGAGTCTTTTTTTTTTTTACTACGTTCCTCATGATACGACGAAAAATTGTCTCGATTGCCAATTTATCTAGTCTATAAGTTGTGTTCTAAATGTTTTGAATCATTTGTTGACGATAACGAAAAAGGATTTTAATTTGTATTAAATTGCCCATGCATTAAATTACCATTAAATTGCCAACCTGTGAAGAACGTGCTCTCAAAATATCTATGGCTTTTGAACGCCTTTTTCCCAATTGAATTAAGCAATTTCGCTTAAACTTTCCACATTCCATTTTCATGTTTTCAGTTCCAGTGGTAATGTTGCATTAGGAAGTTTGAGAACTGGTTCTAGTTTTCGGGAGAACTGATCTGTGACTATTCAAGATTTGGAAGTTTTGATTTATAACTTCTGCCGAAATAAAAGAACCTACATGTACGTATGCTGTTTATGGGACTAAACCAGGTGGCCTTTTAAAGAATTGTTCTTTAAGATAACGAAATAATACTTATCTTTGGGGTTTTTATCAGATGTCTTAAAAGCGGCTTTATTACAGAAAACAGCCCGCTCGTAGAGGATTTAAACCTTCAGATAGTGCTCGTAGAATAAGGGACATTGAAGTTGTAACGTAAGTCACGGGCGAATCTATAGAGTTTGACGTTGTTTGAGTTGGCATTATTGAAGTTTCCGTAAAAATCGAATTTCGTCAAAGTATAATGAAACAAGAGATCGTTTGTGACAGTACATGTGTGGGAAAAGAATATTGATTGAAAAGATGTTACTTTGGAAGATAAGATAGAAAAATGATCGGAAACTAGATAACTTCAACTGGCTTTGCCGTCAAGGAATTCGTTTTCTCCGAAAGAAAACGACTTTGTCAAAAATTTTCCACCAGCATGGTTATTTCTGTCGATCATAGTTCTTCGTAACAGATTAAAAAAAAAACGTAAAAAATAGCCACCTTTTTACCAGGACGTGCTAAAGGGTTTCTGAGTAAAGTATGGTCAAGCGAATTATTTAAAACTAGATAACAAGAACTTTGTTCTTATCCAGTATTGCAATCGACATTCTGATAAACAAAATTTTGTTATCAAGAAGCCGAGTATACTTTTTAAAAAGTCCTTGAGATTAATACTCATTAGTTTAGGATTAAGACAGCTTCATCGATAAAAAAAGAAGTCTGTCTATATTTACTGATATAAGCTGGCGAGGCGACATCGTTTAATTTATCTCGTAGAAAAATACCTTTCGTGTCTGAAGTCTGAAGTGGTAATATTCAAAAGAGATTCTTGGTAAATTCCAAAAGTTGTAAATAGACAAATAGAGATTACAAATTTTGATCTTGGCCTTTGATCAAAAATGACACTCATTAGAGACCGACACTGAGAAAAGAAATACTCCACGTTCTCCAAGAGAAATCGGACCTTTGAGCAGATTTCGCGGTCCACGGCTTAACAGAAAATTTTGTTCGAGTGCTCAGTCATTGCCAAGTTCATATGTTACAATGGCTGTGCTTCGTGTTACGATTAGGAATGTTTGAAACAGTTTTTAATGAATTGAATGAAATAAATTTCGTTTGAGCTGCAAATGCAAATCAAGCAAAGATATAATATTCGCGGGTGGGCTGCAAATTAAGCTATGGCAGAAAAGAAACCACAAAAATATTTAGGCTTCGACGGGATGCGCGTCAGCTTCTCCTAGATACTGATTGGACGCTACCACTAACTGACTTACGAAGCCACACGTTAGGAGCGAGGCAAATTTTAGAGAGTTCTTCTTCCCTGCAAAGGAATCTGATCACAGTTTTTAAAAAAATGAAATTTGCCTCGCTCCCAGCCGTGTTGCCTTGTTGCTCAGTTGGTAGTAGCACCGGGTACGAATCCCGTCGAAGCTGAAATTTTTCAGGCTTTATTTCAACAGTTGCTGAAGTATTGCAGTCCACCAATGAGAAGTTGACTTCTTTGCTTGATGCTGGAAACATAGCTTAATTTTGTAGCGGCCGGGGTAATGAGCGTGGCCTATCGGCACCTCCCTCTTTCAAAGGCTAAATTTCAAATGTTTCCTTTAATTCCGATCATTTTCTGTCAAAATTGTGCGTGCGGATTAGATGAGCAGACAAATCCGTCAGAATCTTGTGTTAGCTCTCTTGTAAGAGTCTAAAAATATACTTGACGACTGGTACTCCTTCATCGCTCACCCACGCAGGGCAGGGGAGCTTAATCCGAGGGATGTAATACCCCACACTTGCGAAAAAAAGTGGGCACCTCCTGGCAAGAAAGCATCATCTGCCGCTCGCTTCGCCTGCCGTAAAAGACGCTCGATCTGTCCACGTGCGGGCAATTTTGACAGACACGCGTGAAGGAGAAAGGTCTTGCGCGCCTGCTCTCGCAAGCGAGTTTCTATCGTTCTTGACAAACGCCTGAAATGAAGAGTTCGGCACGCCATTCTATCTAGCTATTATCTCTCATAGGGACTTTCTCAGCTTTTCTCGACGGAGCACACTGGAAAAAAGTTGAATTTTCACAACTTAATCAGCATTTAGCATCTTACTGTCAGACAAATGCGATTAAGCTTGTTTTGAAGCTGTTTAAGCGCTCTAAGCTGTTAAATCGTTAATAGTATCAGTAATAAGCCCATTTAAAGTCCAAAAAATATCAATATTCAAACAGATAAGGCTGTTGTTAATAAGATTATCTGGCATAAGAGAAAATTCTCGAAGGTAAATTTCGGCCTATTACGCTAGCCTTGCCGTATAAATCCTCTAAATCGGATAAAACTGCTCGAGAATAATTAAAAAAGAAATTTGTTTTGCTCACTCTCTAAACACAGTTTGAATTTGAAAAATGTTGACATTGTATTGATTCAACATTAGTTGATAATTTGATAATTTAATTATCGGTACACCTAAGTAAAAAAAAAAAAACAAAAAAAAAAAACAGGATGACCCCAAATGAGATCAAAATCAAAACACTGTGGTGTGAGAAAATATGCAAAAGCTCTTTGCATTATCGTTTTCATAAATATTATCACGTTCGTAACAATCGCGATTAAAGAATGGTTTTCGACCATCGTTTTTACTTAAAGTTCGAGTTGTCTAGGTAAATTTCACTGAAGGAAAGTAAAATTAGTTTGAGTTATCGCAGAGTTCGCGAGTTCGAGTTAGCTGATAGAAAATGACTGGAAAATATGTCAAATCCAAGGGAGATTAGATCGCGTCCGTGTTAGCGGGGGTTCGAACTATCCGGGCTCGAGTTAACGGGGTTCCACTGTAGAACTGAACAAGTATTCACAGGAAATTCTCGCTCGAAAACGCCCCGGTAATGGTAAATTGTGGGAAGAGGTGTGTCTGCAGGCGTATAGAAGTGAGAGCAAGGAAAAAACGCAAGTCATTGCCGCGGCGCGTCGCGGTTTCTGCTCTCGGGGCTACCCCCCAAGAGGGATTTTGGCGTTGGTATCTGATACCCCCAGTGAGAATAATTTTACCCTTCTTGTTGTCAAACGAGCAACATTTCATCTTGTTTGTTCGCTGGGTAGAATTAGAAATCTTTGTAATCTGGAGTAACCACACCACGTAATCTTTTCAACACTAATTCTATGATATATGGTAATTTCGACACTAATACGTTTGTTTCCCTAATAATTACTTAAAATTAAAGATAAAACGACCAATTTTTCTCAGATAGAGTTTTTCTTTAAATAAGGTCACCATGGCACTCGAACCTTCCTAAGACACTCCTGTTTTCTGCACAATCTGCCTGTAACGTAGAAAACAAATACGATCATGCGTGGGAGTGAGGCACGCTCCTAGCGCGCTGCTCACGAACATTGATTTTTTTCTGCTGAATGTTTTTACTCGCTCAAAGGACTAGACAGAAAAGGAAGCACTGCTCGTAGTATAAACTCGCTTTTGAGCCACATTCACACAAGTTAAACGGTTTCAGCGCGCCGCCTCAATAAATACAACTGTAAAATATACTTAAAAATCGTATAAGTTTTTGTTTCTAACGAATTCAGTCGTTTGAGGTTTCTAAAGGACACACTTAGGAAAGCACACGTTCACATTTCCGTCTTTTTTAATTTCTGTAGCTGCAAAAGAAAAAATCGAAATTCTGTTCAAAGAAAACGAAGCTATGAAACATCAACTCAAGGAACGAGATGAACTGCTTACGTCATGCACCAATAGTTCGATTGTTGATGATGAGACTGCGCCAGTGACGGAAACTGATGACCCACGGACGCCGGACAACGTGAGCAGCGCGTTCTTAGAGATCTTGAAAAGAGATAATAACTCTTTGATAAGTGAGAATGAAGAACTCAAAGTCCAAGTTGACCATTTGAAAATTGTACAGCGTGAAAAGGAGAAAGAGCTGGAGAGGGTGATGCAAAAGCTGGCTGCTTCACAAGCCGAGTGCGAAAAGAAAGCGCAATTGTTGAAAGCTCGAGAGAAAGAGGTTTCCAAATTGCAAGATAAGCTAGCAAGAGCCGAAGCGGAGATAAGGAACACTGAGAGAAAAGTAGAAACTCTGGAAGAGAAAGCTAGACAACTCTACGAGGAAATTCAAAGCGAGAAACGCCATAGTGAAAACACAAAAGAGAAGATTTCCACTATGAGGACCTCGCTTCTGGAAGCCGAGAACAAGATCAAAACTCTGGAGACGGATTTGTCTCAACGATCAAACAAGGTGAAAGCTAAGCGAGAAAGAATAGAGACCTTGGAAGAAGAGAACGTTCAACTTACGCAAGAGCTAGATTCCCTGAAGCGTCAAAACAACGCCTCGACAGAATCTTACCTCGCTGCAACAAAGGTATTGAGAGAGAAAGACCACAGAATTGAAGAACTCGAGGAGGATCACAAAGAAAGAAAGAAGCAACTAAGAGTTTTTGGGGAGAAAGTTGAAGTTCTTACCTCGGAGAACAACCGCTTGGTGGAGGAACTTCAGCAAGCAGAAGAGAGGTTTGCGAACGCTGATAGGTCATACCGACGGGTTTCAAAGGCGTTGGACGATTGGAGGAAAATGAGTAAAGAACCTGGGACTGGGGCAGAACTCTGGGATGGAGAAAAGAGTGAGGGACTGGAGAAGAGAAACAGAGTTGACCGGGAGGAGATTAGTGAAGAGCAGGAGGAAAAAGATGGGGTGAGTGTAAATGTTGTATAAGAGATCGGTCATTAACTATCGCCTGGGAGGGAAGGGGGTGGGGGTCGAAGTAATTTGCTAGGGGGTCAAAAGAATACTTATGGGAGGATCAGATAAATTCAATCCTTCACCCACCCCCTCCTCCCATCAGGCGATTAAAAAAAAATGACCAGTTTTAAGCGTTGATAAACAATTTCAAAGTGAATCACCATCAAATGGCAAAACCAATGAGCTACAAGTGAAGGTGAGTGAGAAAAGCGTGGTTGAGATCACATCGTTTAAGCAATTGATTGACGGAGATGATATGCATTTTCCGGTTGGATAAATTGAATATAATTTGCACGTATTCAGTGTACACGAAAGAAAGATACAAAGTATGTTGATTATAGAACTTTAAAGCTCTGGCAAAGCACAACCGTTCCAATTAGAAATCTCTGTCTTTCTTTTTTCTATAATTCAAGCTGTTTTCAAACAGCCCATGTGCTGTTTTCCTGTCCAAACAAGTGCAAAGACTAATGCCACAAACTTCTTAACTTAAAATTTGATTTATATTCTAATAAGATAATTGAAAGAGGCAATTTTTTCTCCACCAAATAAAAAGTTAAACGTCGATCTGCAAGTCGGAGAGAGGAACTCATTCGAGAGGTGTTTGACTGTTTTTTTTTTTCCTCCAGCAAACCAGTAAGTGTTCTAACTGTCACCAAATGACCAAGAAACTGAAAAAACAGGAAGAGTACTTCAGCCTTAAGGTCAGGGAACTTGAAGCCTGCACACAGAAACTTACGGCTGAGAAGGAAGCATTGGAAAAAGAACGGAGGAACAGTGAAGAGTTTACAATGCGTGTGCAGCAGATGGTACACGAGATTGAAAATGCGAATAAAACGGAGAGAAATTACAACAGGGAGGAACAGGTGCAAGAAACGGGAGACTTTTTCAACATGGTGAAGAGATTTTTCGCAGAGAATGAGGGTCTGAAAAAGCATGCGCAAAAGTGCCTGTCTGACCTCGAACAGTTGCAAAAGTATATACGGAGTTGTTCAAGCGGAGTCAGAGAGCTACTCTGTCATACAGATGAGTTTGAACCGGTCGCGAAGCGAATATCGTTGTTGAAATCACTCTTAGAGACGGTTGTGGTCGAATTCGCACGTCCGTTGAAGGAAGAGGAAAGTGACACAGACGGGAACGAAGATTCTCCGATGGAAACCAACTTTCGCCCTGAGTTATCGTGGGATGACTACGAAAGAGAAGTCGCCTTTAAAGCGTTTAAGGACAACGTGCAAGACATCATTCAGCAGATTGACATAGATAAGGAGATGACTAAGAAAAGAGTAGAAGAGTTCCAGGAGGTTAAACGCGCTCATAGGGCTCTCAAATGGGTCAGAAAAAGGTCCAGACAAGCCATCGAAAGAGCTGTAGCGCGGAGTGAAATTGAGGACTTGTGCGTGGAGGAGCCACCAGAGGACACCCCAAAAGGCTCCCATCAAAAAAATTCCCGGATGGAACGCTGGAATGATGGGGAGTTAGTGGAGGTCATTAAAGATCTACTTGAAAAGAACCGAGAGGTGCTGGCGATAAAAATGGATGAAAATTTCAGTAGATTGGAAAACATCGTTAAACAGCAACGTGTGCACAATAACTTGTTGTCAGACGAGAGAAATCAGAAAATCGGCGGCGAGAGCGTAAGGGAGACCATGGATGGAAAATATGCCATAGGAGAACTGGATTTGGTTAAAAGAAAACTATTTGATGTGCAGAAAATCATAAAGCACCTCACTGGTTCACTGGTGGAGGTGGAACATGTAAAGAAGACCGTCGAGTCCAAGGTGGATCTTTTGAACGGAGAGCTTAGTCGAAAAGAGTCACAGTACGAAGCCAAATGCGAGGATTTGAAACGGGTAACGAAAACCGTTTCCGACCAGGAAGTTTCCTTCCGAAACCGACTCGAACAGCTTGCGTCGGAAAAAGACGAGATCAACTCGGAGCTACGAGGAATTGTCGGAGTGCTCAAGGAGAGAGAGTTGGAACTGGTCGAGCGGTCACAGCAGTTAAAGCATTTGCAGACCACGTACAACGATATGGAGCGATCGATGAAAAGCAAGATCGACGCGCTGGAGCAAGAAAATAAGGGTGTATGGTTGGACTACAAAGAAGCCGATAAACGAGCCGAGATAAACGAAAAAGAGTTCAAAGAACTTGCAGACCGGCTGAAGAAAAGTCAAGGATACATGCATTCGGTGTTTAGTAGCTTAACTAACATGGACGATGAATTGCAAAGAGCCAGAGATATCGAAGTGTTTGGCGAGCAAGATTAACCCTTTGAGTTATGATGCACTTTATTTACATAGAACCCTTAAAAACACAATGCAAGAGAGAGTAATTTTCTGTAACTGGATTTCGGCAATTTCTTTTTTTTGATTCGCTTTCGAAGTGTAATTTTTGAACAAGACTGAAACGAAGTACACCACTAGTTTCCTGTCAATTAATTTCTCGGGTTTTCTTTTTGTTTGTTTTCATTTGAATTGTTCTTGAACTGTGTAATTTTAAACAAGACAGACATGTAGTGCACATGATTCCCTCCTGGTTTACCCTCGACCTTGACTATAAATCGCCACTGATTTCCTAATTTATTTAACTACTAACAAGACTACATTAAGTTTTTGTTCATTTTTATCTATTTATTTGGTATAAATAAAGTTGAGTAGATACAATGTTTCAAGTCAATGCATTTCATATACTTCTTCGCATGTAACCCTCACTTCAACTGAGCGTCGAAAATCCAAACCCGAAGTCATCGCAGCGATCAATCAGCGCTGAGAAAAACAACACAAGAAGCCAACGAGAAAGCTGGGAAAAAAGTTGTTAACCACCTACAGCGCGTGAAAACGCAAGCGACTGAACAAGTCGCGTGTTGTTAGAATTTGCCCCAGATTGGTTGCAAGGATGACACGACCTTTTTTAGACTAATCACCCTGCAGAGTAAAGTAAAACCAAAACGATCCCGATTTAGTTTCAACACCCAATTTAAATTACTCTAAAGAAGAAAAAAAAAAAATAAACGCTACACATTTAAGTACCGTGTAAACCTCTTGCCTGTATCGAATCCCGAAGATCGTGTGGAACACGAGGATTCATATCACACGCGTTTCAGAGTGCTTAGGTCGGAAAAAACCCCCAAATATGGCAAAGAGATACGGAACATTGTCGGAGCACTCAAGAATAAAGAACCAACGAAAACTAAGCGTAGGAAAACGATTTGTTAGAATTTTGCATCTGACTGGTTAAGAGAGTGGCGCACATTTTTCCGGAGAAACCGCTGTGCTGGGTGGTCAAGTAAAACCAACACGACCTTAAATACGTCTTCAAAGAAGAATTGCGTTGGTTCACTGTTAGCAAGAGCTACGCAAGCTGGAGCAAAACATGGGAGGTTTAGGATCTTACTCATCTAAAAATGAATTAAAACTAGCGTTTGTAACGATTTCACAGGTACACTAGTTTTTTTTGTCACAGACTTTAAAACATTGGACCCGGTCTAAAATGAGGATCCCCGGGTGGGGGTCTCCCTGGGGGAGGTGCCCCAGGAGGAACCATGTTGGCTACGCTTCTGGGTGGAATCCAGTCTCTCTCAGCCCGCCCTGGAGGTGGCATCCATTCCCTTTCTCCTCTAACAGGAGGGCCTCTATCACCCGGAATCCATTCCGCCTCGGCTCGTGGTGGCCCAGGGAATCTTCCTGGGAAACTGGGCCCTACTGGTCTAGGTCCAAAGCCTTCGTCAATAGGTGCAGGGGCCATTGGCCGTGCGACTCGCATCTCCTCAAACCTCGGAGAAGGTCCCTGCTCAGGTCGTGGAAAGGCTCCTTGAGGGACATGAGGTATAGGGGCTGGCGCAGGAGCTTGAGCAGGGAAACCACTGACTACAGGATGCTGCTGGCGTGGTCCCTCCATAAAGAACGTTTCACGTGGGATAGTGGGTACTCCAGGGAAATGTCGCCCGTCCATCACGGGTACCGGGGCAACGTTTCCAAAGGGTCTTTCACCCGGTAAAATAGGGTGAGGGGGCACTGCTGGCAGGGGCTCACGCAACGGGGCCGGAAAAAAAGGTGCTACTTGAGGGAACATGGCGCGTTGTATCTCATTCTCGGCATCTTCCCCTCCATCACTCTCCCCTCCCCCATGCTCTCTCTGATGCCGTCTTTTGATGTGCGACTGCAAGTCTCGCTGGGAGAAATAACTTCGACGGCATCCTGAGATTCCATAGCGACTTCCGCCTACTGAACACACGTACACACTACCCAGCGGTGCCCGTTCAATCCGCTGAACACCATCACCGCACCTAGAGCAAAATTCGACAAGGTCACGCTGGGGAATAAAATTTGGTACCACTGTAGAAGATAATTATGCTTGGCCAGGTTTGGCTGCTGACGGGAAACCCAAGTCTTCCCTGATGATGATGATTTAAATCAAGGATCTTCCTGGATGGGCGGTAGGGCCACTTGCATTGTATTGATTTACGTTGCAAAATGCATTTCAGTACCTTGTACGGTAAATTAACATCTCTACAGCACACCGACTGATAGTAAAAAAAGCATTTGACACAAACCTTGGACACTTTCCATTTCCCTTTTCAGCACAGTTTAAACAGAAGGAATGTTTACAAGGACTCTAAAGAGCCAAAAAGAAAAAAAAGAGAAATACAAAACACGCATATTCAAGGTGTCAGTACGTTAACCCCTTGACTCCCAAAAGTGATCAACATGTAACTTCTCCTTATAATATCCATACAATACATCCAACAAAAAAGTTAATGAGAATACTTAAACTTATCAGGTAGAAACTGTTATCTTGATCTAACACCACATTCTCATAACTAATTCACAAGGAAATGATAAGTAGTTAGGAAGGAGAATTAACAATCAGATCTTGGGAGCTACTCAGCAGTACTTTTTGATGGTATTGGATGCAATTTTTGAGTCCTTACAAACCCTAATCTGTTTGACCAGTCATGTGAGAGCCCAGAGCAGCAGTCCCAGGTCCCACTCCTCATTATGCCATACAAGGCGGTTAAAACTCTTGAGGCTGTGGATAAAACCCAAGGGCATGTCCTTTAAAAGGAAAGCATCTGAATCGAAATGTTTTCAGTACTATTTTATCATGCTGGGCAAGGTAGTTACAACTTTTACACTTCTGAAGTCAACCTTAATGTGTGACCATTTAAAATATGTATTTGAAGCTTGAAAAGGATTCTGCCATCCAATCACCAAGCAGAATTATGCAAGATTTGCCTACATTCAATTTGAATTTAAAGACTAAATTTGAGATTGAAATAATTCAAGTACTCACCAGTCGGCCATAAACAAGAATAGGCAATGCGCATTTCTCACAGAGATGAAGAAGAGGATCCTGCACCTTTTGTCCAATAGGAACAATCTGGAAAGGATAAGCATGTGGTGTGTCAACGATTTAACTCCCAGAAGTGATTAACATGTAACTTCTCCCTCTACAATCCATATCTTATCCAACAAACAGGTCAGGGGAATACTCAAACTTATCAGGTAGAGGTTTTTATCTTGATTTATTATATGTCTGTCCTCTCACAAGGACTGGGAACTACCAAATTCACAAATTTGATATTGGCTGAAATCAAAATTGAAAGCCGCCTAGATTTTCCCATCTAGACCGGTCTAGAAATAAAAGGTACAAAGAATAATTATAAAAATTTGGCATATAAGACATCGCCATACAATAAACATCTCATTAATCGAGCTAGGCCAGTCTGTGTAGAAGAATCTTGACCTCAGTCGCTGGTACAGACCTCACTGCATTCAGTCTGCACTGGCGTCCTCAGTCAAGATTCTCCCATACAGACCTCCCGCTCGGTTAATAAGAACTACTTACCATCAAATTTTTGTAATTAACTCACAGGGGAATATAATCATAGCAGCTAGAGGGGAGAATTAACGATCAGATCTTAGGAGTTAGAGGGTTAAAAATGCAGAGAACAATGGTGAACTACAACCAACTGGAATTACTTTAAAACAGACCCAGGCACCACAGAAACACAAGTAACACGCAGAGGAGGCCAAGTAATTAAATTGAATTTCTTTTACATAATTATTTCAAACTCTAAATGTGATCCTTTCATTGGCAAGCCAAAATTAATGTGACAAAAATTGGGCCCAGAAATTACCCATAAGAGTGATACCTGAAAAACAAAATAATTGGGTGAAAAATAGGAATCATAATATGAGAACAGAAGCAGTTAAAGTGCTACTGCTACGAAATTTTCGCATTTTATTTTCCCAATTTTCTGGTGTTAACTTCACATTTAGACTCTAAACTATAAGAATGAGCGTAAGTTTCTCAAATTTGACAACTTTGTTCCATAAAAAAAGCGCCGTGAAGACATTAAAAATTCTTCTGCCATTGCTCGAATAACACACTGGAGAGCCCATGAAAATAACTAAACAGCGGTTTTAGTTGTGACGTCATCGACTCACTTCGACAAAGTTGTGAAGGCACGCCTTTATAAGGAATATGCAAAAGAAAGCTGGGGAACAATTCTTTCAAATTTTATTCCTTCTTTCCTGCGTAACCAGAAAAACAACTCTCTCTCGGCGTACTAAATTAGCCACGTTTGTTGAGTCATTGATGTCACTTCCGTTGTCCAACCAGTTTCTTCTTCTTCGCGCAGAGTTCTGTAGTTCGAAGAATGGCGGTTGTTTAGATCGCGAATCAACAGGGAAAATAATATTACTTCTCGATGGAGTTTTGCCTTAAGATTTGGCAAATTTGTTACTTAGGGTAAGTACTTTCAACCTCTGAGGAGAAAAGAAAAAGTGCATTTTTGGTAGCAGCAGCACTTTAAGTGAAAAATAGAAACTGTTTCATGGAAGCATACGGAAAATATTTTCAGGCATTACTCTTCATTTCTGGACACTTTTGTCACTTTTGGCTTGCCCCACTGACAAATTGTTATTCGTAGGTTATTGGGTTATGTCATTTAGAGGCTGGATACCAATTGCCCAATTACAGATAAACACTAAACCCTGTGATCTGATAAGAAACTTTCCCATCTGTTTGACTCATTCACCCTACCACAAGCCCAGGAAAACTTTTCCCCAAATTTAGCATGAACTAGGATCAGCCATGTTAAGATCCACAGTGGTGAAGAATCAGAGGATTGGAAATGCCTTTCTGAGTGGTCCTTAACCTAGAAATGTTACTTTCAGCCAGTAACACCATAGTCAAGGGGAAGCTAGAGAAAGTGTATGTATGTGTAATTGTTCACTGTTGCATGTGTTACAAACTCCCAGCAAGGAAGACCACATTGGAACTCGTTTGAAAATTGCACTTACTATCAGCCACGGGTATTCTTACCTGGTGATCCCACTTTAGTTCTCTCATGACCACCACCTGTTGAGCTGGACCAGGAGACTTCTGTTTCTTCTTACTCTCTTTGTCTCCTGAAACAGGTGAAGGATGAGCTAAGATAGATTGAGTTGAGTAGAGGCTGTGGCATAACAGTGACATATATTCACTTATAGTGACATTCAGTTGAAAATAAGATGTCACATGGTTGAATTTAGCTATGTTAATGGAGGAAGAAGACAAAGGGCAAGGAGCACTGGCATCCTCTGGCCATAGCCTTGCTGGTAATGTGTCCAAGAGAATGAGAAGGATTGCTTGTCTGACTGACTGACCATCAAGTTTACAAATTCTCAGTTCATAGAAGCAAACTCTGAACCCCCTTGGAACAAGGGTGTTCAAATTTACTTATAAATGTATAAGTTGAATTCATCCTCTGATGAATAATATCAGTTCAGCAAACACAATTCTTGTTTCCACATGTTTGTTTAGTAAGAGATCATGGATGGTATCAGAAAATTGCATGAGGAAATAGATGTAATCAGGCTTCAACAGAAAAGTCTGTCAAGGGCATTCATTCTAGGATTTATTGGAGCGTAGATCTATGCATTTTACCTCTCTATAACAAAAGAAAATATATTCCTTGTTGCCATGCTTCTATAGGAAAATTCATTACCTGACAAGGGAATAGCACAACAAATTGTATGTGAAAAACGATTAAATTGCATGAAATGCAAAGTGATGAGTGGGATATTGGTTTTCAAGTGCAATTTAACACAGAATTAATGAGTCAGGTAATGGATTTTCCTTGAATCTCATAACTGTATAAATATAAGAAAAAAAAATATAGCGATAATAGTTTGTTTTTATCTGAGCATGAAACAAGAGGCCACAGCCCTAGAAGGCAAGCTGCTCTCACCCCTGCACCATCCCTATCATAGGAAGGCAGCATGACCAAGTGGTTAGGGTACTGGACTTGTAATCTGGTGTCCCAGGTTTAAGTCCTGCACCCTGCCACTCACTGGATTTGTTCTGGGTTGCCCCGACTTCAACTCCTCGGCTGCACTGTATAAATAACCCACTGGTCTGCTTGCTGCCAGTGGGTATTTTCAAGCACTGAGTTAGTCTAAATTGTGGCTGAAAAGCCCCCTATGAGGGAGCTTCAGTTAACAGAATTTTTTTCTTTTTTTTAATCCCCACTTAATTATATCTACAATTTTATTTACCATCTGAGCCACTCCTAGACCTCTCACTGGTTTTCCCTTCCTTTTTCTTGCTTTTTCCTGATGCAAGGGAACTTGCTGACTTGCTTTTGGCTTTTAGCTTTAAAGAAATATTTCGTCTTACAGGCTGTGAAGTTGAGCCTTGAGTTGCTCCCTCATGCTCAAGCTCAAGATCTGACAAATAATTCAAATTAGGAAATTTCTTCAATGCAGAGCTCTCAAATCTCAGAAGACACACACAAACAAATTCAATCACACCTGCAAGATTTCTGATTTAAACTACTGATTTTAAAATAGCAAATTTCTGCTTTAGTTAGGTACCTATCAAATTAATTATTCTTTTAAATATGATCTACTCTTCCTTCCCTTTGTACTTGCTTTCCAACAATGAAAATTTCTTGCTTGAAATAAAGGAATGCATAATAATAATAATAATAATAACCTTTATTTTAAGAGGGTGACACTAATTACTTTGAAAAGTATTCTCCCTAGTGGCCCTCTAAAACACCCACCCACCCCACCCCAGGGGAGGACATCCATCACACAGTAATCTCGTGTGTGGGAAATTAATGTCTCCCACCCCCAATCCTGCAGGAGAGGGGACCTCCATTTATTCGTCCCTATCCTAGAAGACTAGAATATCTAACCATTTCTTGATGTTATAGAAAGGTAGCAAATTCTTCTCACTTATTTTAAGACCCTGAGTGTTGGTCCAGCTGGGGCTTAAACCCTTGACCTCCCGCACAACAGTCCAGCGCTCTATCCATTGAGCTAACTGGGAGGTGGTTGCATATCTTAGCTCCTTAAATTTTCTGGGGTAGCAAGCCCCATACCCCCCCCCTCCCCCTTGGATAGTGATGCTCACCATGTCATAATCAAAGGTTAGGCAGCCAATTATCCCACTCCTCTGTCAGCTTTTTTTTTTAAGAGGTCTGACAATAATTGTCAGAAAGTAAAAGAAGTCCATGAAATCAGCATTGTAATGCTTGTGCCAATTTTCTTTGAAGTAAATCACACCTGATTATAATCTACTCATTTACATAATTTTGTTTTTCACAACTGAATACAGGGGTGTCATTTGAAAGATCCATGATCTGAAATGAGTAGGCAGCTGAGTTGAATTTTGCTGCAGAGTAAGTATGGCACAGTTGTAAAGCAACTTGCCTCTCTAGAAAGGGCTGGAGCATACTCTCCTGCAAAACTAATTTCAGATATGAAACTCTCTGAGATGTGATTTCCAGCATTCTGCGGCATATCAGAGTAACTTTTTCAAAGCCAGACTTTGATGTTACAACCAGTTCAAAAATACTTCATTTCCTTCTTTAATTATAATTCACAAAGTAGCCAGCACAAAATGGTCTGACAGCTGGAGGTTTCTTTCGCCCACTAGCTTCTAATGACAACCCAAACTGGCCTGAAATACATGCTAGCTGCGTTAAAGCTCTGGGTGTGGAGAAAGTTTACGTACGAAATTTCAAGTTTTGAGAAATAAAATTAATAGGAACACAGAAAAGTTAAAACATCAAAGCCTAACTACTATTTCACGAATAATAAAGCTATAAATTAAGTACAGTCTGCTAACGAATCGAATCCGCAGCGATCAATAAAATCTTGTTGAGGAACAACATCAAAATGAATCTGTCTTGAGAGAAACCGTTTACCTGCTTTTGAACATTTTATGTTGCACTTGAACGAGAAAATTTCTATTTCCTAATTTAATTTTTATGTACAGGCCACGAGTTATAAGATAAGGAATTGTGAAAAGTGCAAATTTTCTTATGCTTACCGTCGTCCATCTTGGATTTTCTTGTTCTTCACATGAACACCGCTGTTCAGGTTGATTATTTTTCTAGTGGCTGAGCCGATAAGAGTAACGTCAGTCAAGTGTAGTGCGGTCGGCAAGAGTGCAAGAGTGCTCTTTGTCTACAACAACAAAAAAGACAACAATCAATAAAAAACCACGCCCAGTTGGTCTCTATTGTAGGTTTTAATTCATTCAAAACTTGCCACAAACAACTCTTTCGCTGCTTTTACGAACTAGCTTTGTAGACCGTGACCAAAAAAAAACCAACATGCAAATTACAAGAAGAATTCAGAAGTCGTGTTTACTTGTTTCTAAACTTCCCAACAACTTTGAATGACATGAAGAGAAAAGTGATCTACTTCACTCACGGCTAAAATTTGAGCCCCAGGTTAATGGTAGAACGCGAGGGTGCTGTGCCTCGAGGATTTACATACATACATACATACATACCTAGGTTAATTGACAACTCCTCAGAGGGGCTTTTCAGGGCCAACACCCACCCATCCCAACCAGGGAAGGACATCCACCACATAGTAATCTCGTGCGTGGGAAATTAACGTCTCCTACTCCTAACTCTGCAGGAGACGGGGCCTACGGTTTGTTCGTCCTTATCCGAGAAGACTAGAATATCTATCCATTCTCTTGATTATAGAAAGGTAGCAAATTCTCCTCACTTATTTTAAGACCATGAGTATTGGTCCGGCCGGGGACCATGAGTATTGGTCCGTCTTGAGTTCATCTTCAGTTGGAAGGACGACGGATGTAGCAACACAGCTATTGTCCCGGACGAAGATTCAGTCGTATATGGAGCTCTGTACTCCTCTAATAAGCAAGGTATTGCTAATATGGATGAAGCCGAGGGCGACAGATTGAAAAGGCTAAGCTAGTGTTTATGTTGAGAAAGAAGGTGATGAAATGGTACAAGCGACTACGTATCAGGGAAGGGAAGAATTCACAAAAGCAGGGCTTCTTCCGAGTGAGACTTATTCAATGAAATGTTGGAGAGAGAAGATATTCTACCAATAGGATACGCTGACTATTTGAGAAGTTTGAAGAAAGAAGCAATTCATTTGAATTAAATCGTAAAATCAATTTAAATTAGCAACCATTGGAACAAAGTTCGGCCCGGTCATCATTTAACGCCTCAGGGGAGGGGTCGGGGAATTTTGGTTGTGTCACAATTAAATTTATTTTATCCCCTCCTTCCTCCCCGTCAAGCTGTGAAGTATTTTATAGCCCTCCCTTTATATTCTATTAGCGACGGCTAATTCGCCCTCCTTTCCTCCAGAAAACCATGTGATGATCCCTCCCCACCCCCCCCCGTTCTTCGCTCAAGAACTCGCTACTCAGCTGAGTCTGCGATTAAGAACAGCACTTAGCGCGGTCGTGAAGAAGCAAACTTCTTTATTTATGCTGGGAGGTGGTTTGTAGCTATGTAAAAGACCAGTGAGTGCTATTTGTCTACAACAAAAACAAATAAAAAGCATAGGGCACGCCCAATTGGTCTCTTCTGCAGATTTAAATGCATTTAACATCTCTCTCTTTTTCACCGACCCTCTCCTATTACAGAACTGGCTTTGTAGACCGTGACTTGTTCTAATCTACCAGACTCTTGGTCTAAACTTTTTGATTCGCTTTCAGCGGCATGGAGGGAAAAGTGATGTACCTCGCTCGCGGCCCAAATTCGAGCTCAAGACTGAATGGCCGGACGTGGTGCGGTGTTCGACCCGTGCGAGGGTGCTGTGCTTCGAAGATTTCGTCTTGAATTCAACTTCAGTTGGAAGGAAGATGGCTATGGAAGAGCAAATATTGTCCCTGGCGAAAATTCAGTGGTGTATGGAGCTCTGTACTCCTGTGATAAGCAAGGTATACCTAATATGGATGAAGGCGAGGGAGAAAAAGGAAGGAGAATAGGTTCAAGTTGAAAAAGAAACTAGTGAAGTGGAACAAGCAACCACTTATCAGGCGAAGGAAGAAGTCATAATGATACGGTGCCCCACAAGTGCACACCGAATTCAAAAACTCTACGCCGAATTCCAAATGCCCACACCAAATTCAAATTGCTCACACCGAATTCTAAATCTCCACACCGAATTCTAAATCTCCACACCGAATTCTAAATCTCCACACCGAATTCTAAATCTCCACACCGAATTCTAAATCTCCACACCAAATTCTAAATGCCCACACCAAATTCAAATGGCTCACACCGAATTCTAAATCTCCAAACCGAATTCTAAATCTCCACACCGAATTCTAAATCTCCTTGCCGAATTGCTCACACCGAATTCCAAATGAATTCGGTGTGAGCAATTTGAATTGAATTTGGTGAGGGCATTTGGAATTCGGGCATTTGGAATTCGGCGTAGAGGTTTTGAATTCGGTGTGCACTTGTGGGTCACCGTATAATAAGAACAGGGCTTCGTCCCAGCGAGACGTATCTGAATGAAATGCTAAAGGTAGAGGACATTCTTCCTGTAGAATACGCTGATTATTTGAAAATTTTGAAAAAAGGAGGAACGCCGTTAAATTAAATGTTATGATCAACTAATCGAAATCAAAATGAGCAGCCATTGAAACATTGCTAATTAATGCATTTATTCTTAATTCTTCATCATCTCTATAGACCGGTCATTATTTATCCCCGCAGGGGGGGAGGGGTGGGGGTGTCGAAGGATTTTGGCTTAGTAAAAAAAAAAAAGAAATTTATCTGATCTCTGATAAGTCTCAGCAGTATCATACTGACCCCCCTGAAAAAATAAATGACAGTCCCCGTCTTATACTCTGTTAGGGACGACCTGTTTCCCCTACGTTCCCTCTGAAATCCATGTGACTTCCCCCCCCTACCCCTCACCGGGCGATGAATAGCAACTTATTCAGCACTTTGGAGCATGCAACGCGAACGCGCGTGAAAATCAGCAAAGAAAATTTCTCGCGAAGTTGTCTCGTGTTTCTCGCAAACGTCGTGTCACGCAATCGTATTTCGATTAGTCACAAAAGAAATTCTATCTACTGGACCACATGAGTTAAAACGTCGTTTACTCGAAGAGTTCTCACATCCTAACTCAAAGAATCGCAGAAATTAATGTCATGGATGAGAAAGAGATCTACTTCGGCTTCGCGTCAAGCTTGAGTGAAAGAAAAATGGCCGAACGGGGCGCGAAGTTTTTCTCGCGTGAGAGTGCTGTTCTTCGAGGTTTTCGGCTCGAATTTAGTACCAACTGGAAAGATGACGGTTACGGGTACGCAAACATTGTTCCCGAAGAAGGATCAGTTGTTCATGGAGCTTTATATGTTTGTGAACAGGGAAGCATGGCCAGTATGGATCGCGAGCATGTTGTGGAAGGGAATTGTTTCCGAAGAGTGACTGTTACGGTAGAGAAGAAGATTGGCGAGTTGGTATCAGCTAATACATATATAGCTAATGATCAGTTTGTTCAGCAAGGGCTTCGTCCAAGCGAAGTTTACTTGAACGAAATTCTTGAAGGTGAAGATATTATTCCGAAGGAGCATGCAGAGTTTATACGAAGCTTCATGAAAGCGAAATGAGCCCGTCGTCTTCACAGTAACACTTTGGGTGAGCGTTGCGTGACATCCACAGGAACAGCTGAGAACGGCCTAGTTCTAATTGTTCTTTCTTCCCCTCCAGCTGCTAAACATCTTGTGAATTAGCTATAAAAATTTGGTGTTAGGTCACGATAACAATTCTACCTGATAAGTTTGTCCAAGTTTGAGTTCTCTCGTTACCTTTTCACTGGATAATGTAGTTGCGGGTTATTAATATCTCCAGTGCCGTACAGTTAGTCTATAATCTGGGTCGTACACATGAATTAGTAGAGGGGTTTATTTATTTTCAAAGTTTTGTGTAGCTTGTGAAAACAATCCCAGTAAAATCTAATTAATTTGATGTGGTTCTTGCATGGCTTACATGATTCAGCTTAATGTACCCACTCCACCAGCAGCAAGAATTCTAGATATTTGCGTGCCTTAGAACCCTTACATGTTTTCGTTTTTTTCCACTGCAAAAATGGTAGTGGCCAGCAATTTTACCCCTACCCCCTTGACTCTCAGTTTGCCACTTAAATTGCATTTGAAATCTTATATTCTTCCAACTTTTGTCATCCCAACTTTCAAAATCTGAACCCTTCACACAGTAACATAGGTTTACTGTACACATTCTCCATACTGTTCTCTATACATTTCCTAAGGTGCTGACAAGGAGAATTTGTTAAACAATCAAGAGCTTCTTAAGTTGGTGATCATTTCCTTTATTCTCGTGATTCTGGGGTGTGAATGTGAGGTCACTCTTGGGGGTCAACAAAACTTGACACCAACTGGACCTAGTGGGGCCTGTAAAGAGGTTGTTGTTACATGAATTTTCATGGAGTTTAAACAGTAAATGACAAAAAATCATTTCTCTATGACCAACTCTAGATTAACAAATGACATTTTTCATTAAAAACATCAGTCTTTTCTTTAATAAACAAGAAGCACTATTCACAAAGCAACTAATTAAGTTATGGGTATTTTTGTTTTTTTTTTGGGCAATGACTATGTTATTACCAAAACTGTAGAGATTTTTTTTCGCGTTTTGTTGAAGTATCCATGAGTAGAGTACAGTGAGCAAATAACTTAGTCACAACTCTTGTATGTAGAAGATTATAACAGTAAAGACCAGTCAGCCATGTTGATAGAGATTTACTTGTCAATGATAATGGTGGTTTTCAAGTTAACTGTTTTTCAACTTGGCCAGTCTCTATGTATAAGGTTTAACTTAAAATTCTTCTCTGGACTAGAGAAGCTGTGAATACAGCCATACACATCAATTGTTCCTTTGACAACATAAGGCCATTGAAAGAAGTTTCCTTCTTACCAAATATTTAAATAAGCTCCGTGGCTATTTACACAAGAACTCGACCTCCACTTATTTTGCATTCAATTATGATTAACCATAATCATAACCATAAGCAGGGGGGGGGGGAGAGGAGGGAAGGATAGTCCCCATACCCCTGGACAAAGATAGTCTGTTCACAGACCTACCAATCTCTTAATCTCTTACATCATTGTCAAGACTGTAAGAAAATCAAAAATCACAGGTATTTAAGCAACATAATGAGATTTAGCTGAGGGAAACGAAGGGGATGGAGTTAAAAAGAGCAGAAAACCTTTAAAGAAAGAGTAGATGAACATATTATGCAAGGCTTGAAAAAAGTGTTTCAGCTGGTGCTGGTCAAGTCGTCTCATTAAAATGTATTTTTGCTCCAACATGACCTTTTTTCGCTTATCAATTTCCATTTTGTCATGTCTTAATAAACCCCTGTTGCCCCTCCTTGAACCAAATATATTTACCATGCTTTTATTGTACATGCAGCCTTTCAAAGCAGGGGAAGTGGTGCAACTGTATCTCACCCTGAACTCTGCTTGGAATTAAATTCTTCCTTGCATGTGTAAACAACCTGACTAAATATCTGGCCATCCAAGGAGTTGAAAGGACAAAACGTGTGAAACAATAGCATGTGAAGTCGATACATTAACTCAATATCTGCATCAGCTATTGCATTTACCATGTCAATTTCAAAGTCTGCTTAGTTTCCAAGCCCCTTGTCGGACTGTGTAGTGTTCTCAAACTCTTGCAAACTCAGGGAGTTGTCTCTTTTATAGATCGTTAAAAAAAAGTATAATTATAAAACAATTATTGACTTTGATTTGCACATGATATTATGAATTATCAAATCTGGTGTCTGTGTTACCTGTCTCAGCCTTCTTCTTTGTCAATAACTCAGACCCCGGTTTCCTTAATTCATGACATCGCATGCTCAACCTCTTCCAAAAATTGCTTCTTGTCCATTGAGCAGTTCTTATTTGGAGCCACATCATGCAATACCTGCATTTATATCACCCAACACCACAATTTACTATCAAGCTTAGTTTATCTCTTTTATCTTCATTCCTCCTTACAAGTTAAGTCCACTGAATACACAACTTTTCAGCATCCAATCTGTACTATTAATCCTTGACTCAGAATACGCTTTGCTGAAAGCCTCCTGAAAATCATCAGTTGTTTCCTGAGTGCAATGTTTTCTCTGTGCACTGCAGCATTTTCCAAATGCTACCTTATCTCCCCATACTCTGTGACTCCATGACTGGGTGGTCCAAGTTTAAACACACCCACACTGTGGTCCTTGGAGGCTGTTACTAAATCTGTGGGGTTATTAAGGAAACAAAATAACTGCATATTATTTTAACAAATAACACTTTGTTCTTTAAAATTAGTCTTCACCCCTTGGGTTCCACTTTGTTTGAATGTGTAAAATTCTATGACTTTCCAAGACCTCCACAACTTTTCAAATGTGTTCCATGACCTATGATCAAGACTTTCCTCGTTAAATAACATGAAATCATTTTTTCAATCCAGATGTTTCTTGTTAATTGTTTTGGTTTTCTCAAGATACCCTAAAGTAATTTTCAATGACCTCCAGGATTTAACTCAGTTTTGTTTCATCAAAAGTGTTAATCAGAGTTCTTTTCCGAAAAAATGAGTGGAAAATGTGTGGAAACAATATCAACTTCGTCATCCACTTTTACAAACTTAAGGAAAGAAAAGAATGTTTGCCTGGAGAATTATGTAGTGTAAACACAATTACAGCAATCCTTTTAACATGGAAATGCAATAAAGTGGAAGTTGTTTGGTAACCTAGTAGCATTCAGGTCATGCTCAAGCTTATCAAGTGTCCACCATTTTATTTTATAACATAAGCAAAGTAAAGCACGTGCTCTGATTGGTCAATTCAGCATCACCCATTTGCCCATGGGTGTACGCTGCTGATGTGAGCAAATGCATAGACAATTTTTCCGCACGGGTTTGTATTTTCTGGTTGCGTAAGATTTGTTAAATAAAAAGGAACTCTGTAGCTGCGGTGTATCAATGTTATGTTATAAAACAAAATAATGGTAAACACCACAGCGTACACTATTGAGTTAAGGATGCACTTGGGAGGTTTGCTAAGCACTCAAGAAGCTAGAGTCGCTCTTGGCTATCGCCTCG